ATAAAGATAAAAACAGATTAAACAATAATGATATTCGTTCGATGGTTAAAAAGAAAAATAATTATTTTTCGAAATATTAATAATTGAAAGCAAGATTATTATTCCACGTTTCAATCACGTCAAATAAATAATTTCTCGCCATATTGAAAGAAAAATTATTATTTTACGTTTCGCGTAAAATGAACGATGTAATTTAATTTTCGGTAATAAATGTAAAAATGAAGAAAAATAAAAAAAAATTCTAATTAAAATTAATATGGATGGAAAATAAGTCACGAAAAATAGAAAACATTGATATATCGAAAAATTCGTATAATAAATATCGCAGATGTACCGATATAAATGCAGCTGTGCCCCGAGTATAAGTGAAATATTGATCGTATTTTCAATGATTTTAAATTGGAAATAACATTTGAAAAAAATGTATTATTTCACCAAACATCTGCTGAACAAACTTTTGCTGAAATTGTTATCGATTACTTCGTATCAGACAAATAAATATCGGTGATAATTTTTGTTATTGGCATATTAATATTTAATCCAAAAAGTGATTGCACTTATAAAAATTGATTATTTATATCCAATGATTTTATCGGTTATATTAATAAATAAATCTATAAAACTTGACTACAATTATTTTATTTATCAACTGTGCGTTAAATAAATAAAATTGACATAAATTCACAATTACTTTGTAATAAGTACATCGACGTAATAAACGATAATTAATTTGATAGCGAGCTATTATTGAAAAATGAAGTAATAATTTCTCGTGTGATAATATTATAATTTTTACGTACTTAAAAATAATTTGAATTATAAATTATCAAATTTTTTTTACAATTTCACGGAAAATAATTGGAATATCTTTAAGTTTGAAATGTGTGAAATAATGAAAATATCGAAAACAAATTTCTTCCAACTTTCAACATTTTTTTTTTTTTATATACATTAAATATAAATTTCAAAAATTCTAAAATTTTTTCCTTGTCATTTTTTACGATTTCATAAATTGCAATTCTTGGCAATCAAATAAAATAAAAGCAAATATAAATTTCTCAAAAATAATAAATTATTTTAAATTCCAAAATCCTATAATTTCCTACAATTTTCTAAGATACTTAAAAAAAAACCATCTAACAATTTTTCAAAAATTTCTTTACAGAATGTCTATTCTCTGATTTCTAAAAATAAAGTCCATTATATTTTGTTCTGTCAAATCTTTATGTAAAAACGACCGTGATTTTTCAAAAATCTTGCAAGCAATTATTTTTATCGATCTCATTACTGTTCTCATTCCATTTCCTTTCCACGTTTTTTTGTTTGAATTCTCATTCCGTTTAATGTCTGCAAAAACGTCGAATCTAATGACACGTGTGGTCGACTGAAACGATTGCATAAAAAGGATAAACGACAATAAGTACCGTTTCTCAAAGAAACTAGCCATCAACCTTGCATCGAAGAGATATATAATAAATAAATGATAAATAAACTCGCTCATTGCTATGAAATCTAACTTTTTTTATATTTTGGATTGCAATTAATTACGAGATACGAGATACAACGTTTCCGGAATTTTTTCGTGGAACAAAGAAGATACTATTTTTATCTAACGATCTAACGATCTTACAAAAAGATATGTGAGATTGATTATATTGATTTTTTTATCGAATCTTTATTTTTTTCTTTTTTCTCTCTCTCTGTGAAGAGTCATATATTATATATA